GGGGGCGGGGGCGGCGAACCCGGCCCAATCCGTATCTGTAACTTTGTCTCTTATTCGAATTGGACATTGCTTTTATATAAAGATAAAGATAGTCTGTCCTACAAACTGAGCTGAATGGAGAATTACATCAAGGGAGCCTACAATGAACAGTGTCTCGATGCCTGGGGATCCAATCAGAGTTTCTGTATATCATATTATATAAAGCGGCTTTCAATATCCCCTTAAGTACCATTTAATATCAGTCGCTATTGTCTCTACATCTGATCGAAGAACATTCACCGACCTTTCATTCTACATATTTTTGCCTTCTCTTTCTTGTCTAGACTTCTTAAATTGTTGAGCTAACAATACGGCTTCTTGAATTCAGAAGACTAATCAGGCCAAGACCAAATTGAAATTCCTTTTAGTTCACCGCATTATCATTACCATCATTACCAGCGTCGGAACCAAAAATAAGACAGAAAAATTCGCTAATAAAATGAACAAATCTTGAACACTCGCATTGGGTCCAAACTTTCAGTCCTATGCAATGATAATTTTTATTTTTGCCATCTTTAAATCCATTTATCTTTCATTCTTGTTTAATTAATTGTAAAGAGTCATCCAAAAGCCTTTAGGTAAGGTTCACGAAATGTTGTCATCTGCGAATCCATTTATCTATTGCTCAATTTTAGTTGATTATTTTTAAAATGCAGAAGATGAGTTCAACCTCGGACAGACTTCAAAACGATTGCTTTGGATAAGGTTTTAACTACAGGGCCTGGATAGCGCTATCCGACGGATAAATCGTATCCAGTGGATAAATTTATTGGAAAACAGCATCGACTTGTCCACTGAATAAGGATTTATCCGCCGGATAGGGCTATCCAGGCTTCGTACAACTGGGCCCAGACATCGCTTATCTGACGTAGCGAGTGTCTTGGGCCATAGATAAAATTCAGGTTAAAGGCAATCGTCGAACCCTTGAGAGACGAGCCTGAAGATCAAGATTACTTATTGATTCCGGCATTAAAAACAAAGAGAGCTTTGAAGACAATAATTCTTTCAAGTCTGAAAGCGCAGAAAGTTTGGATCCATTCAGTTCTCTTTTAACTAAAGGCCGGTTTAGAAGGTACGATTTTCGCCTATGACTATCGTATACAACACGCTCGCGCCATCCTACGACTCGAGTCGTAGTGTGTAAATCAAGCCTACAACTCGCCTACGACAGACGCGAGCGTGTTGTATACGATAGTTGTAGGCGAAAATCGTACCGTCTAAACCGGCCTTAAGAGGGTTTTTTCCGGGTTCTCCGGTTTTCATCCCTCGATAAGAATCAACACGCGACTCGAGTGTTGTGTGTTGTAAATGGTGTAATGTAGCGGTAGTTCGTGTGAATCTCACAGAAAACCATAGGAAAGTGATGGTTGTAAAATAGATATATTTTAAATCAATGCGCAACCATGGTACAGCTAACATTCGCGCACAGCAAGGCACGGCACGTAGCAAAATATTAAAATGTTCTCAAGGTAATTCCGAGATAATCCGATCCTATAATCATTCAAAGACGCAACAATTACCCCTAACAAAAACAAACCAAATATAGAAACGAACTAGCCAGCATTCCACGCAGTACTAAGGAATGGGCCATTAGATAATTGAGGGAGGGAGGGAGGGAGGGGGGTGGGGAAGGTGGCAGGAATTTATGTTGCACGATATGTATTTTTTTTGCAACAACCCCTTCACGCATTTTGTGTGTGTGTGCTTTTGTGTGTGTGTGTGTGTTTACTTTTCTTTACTGGAAGGAGAGGTTGCGCGATATATTTTTCGTAGGTGAAGTGCTTGCTCGATATTATTGGGGAACCCCCTCAATTATCTAATGGTCCGTCCCTAAGGGAAAACCCCTGCAAGATAATCCCATTAGCTGATGTTCAAGATGATTGACAGTCACTACTAAACCATATGTTGCTATTTCCACGATTTCTTTTTCACGTTTGTGATAAAACCACGTACGAGAACTTCGAGATGACCAAAGTTTAAGCTTATTTTGGTTTCTTGTTACAGGTTCATTTTATAAATTTTCGAATGCGCTTTTTTATACTTAAAGGGCACATGTTTTAGACCGCTAGAAAAATAGTTTCTTGTTGAAGAAACCATAACCCCGGATGACCTCGACTAATGCATCTTAACTAGAATATATGATGCTTGGGATGTAGTATTTTTTTAACCTTACATTCCTGCGTCTCGTTTAATAATGACGTTAATTTTTTTTTTTAATTTTAAAGTCACCAAGAAGGTAATGGAAAATAGGTTTACCTAGACATTTTAAATGGCTAACCGCTATGTTAAGTACCGTTTCCCCAACATTACAAGAGCGCAAATAATACTTAGCGGTGTGCGTCAGTTATGTGATCAAACAAAGTCTTTAATGACTCAAGGGCGTTAAAGATTCCCCAGAGTACGAATACAAACCGCATTTCCGGTCGCCTCAAAATTCTCTAAAACGTCTCAACACATGTCAAAAACAAGGCCAAAACAATCAAACGAGACCCTAGAATGCTATCGAGAAAGTTAGTTAGTTAGAAGTTATCTCTGCGATCTACTGCAAGACAACTTACTCGTCTCGCACGCAAGCCTGACTTTGAGATGATGATACAATCCATGGAATTTATAGCATCATTTGGCTTAAGCACTTAGAAAGAATACTCCTATGGGGTAAACAATGGACGAGAAGTAATTAATATGAGAATCTATAAATATAAACAGAATTAAATAGCTTGAAGATTAATATTTCGTGATGTGGGTTGAAGTCTGAGGGAGGTTTCGTGCGAGGGTACAACACTCCCTTCGATTCCTAGGACACAAGGAATTCTTAAGATAATAAATAACGCACATTTAACTTTTTCTTTTGTTGTTTTTGCACTTGATCTGAGCGTTAAAGCACGTCTTAATAAAACAGAGTGCATCTTCAATTTTGTAGCTTTTTCTTTGCAACAAATAAATAATTTGAAGTTGTGTTAGTCTATACTTTATGAATAACAGCTACCTTCCATTGAAATCATCATTAGAAGACACGCAAAACTTTAGTTCTTTAGTTCTAGTATATAACACCTTGTTTATTTTTGTCAAAGCTTGATCTGATGAAGGATAAACCGGATCAAAATGTTTGTCGAGAGCTAAGCACTGCAAGATTTTGTCCATGATGGCAAAAACTAATGCCTCCTTTCCTTCGTATTAAATGGTTTGATTCACGCAAGTTTCGATGCGTGATTTTCATTAAAAATCTGTTTCTAATAAATCCGCGGTGACATCAAGAGAACTTTGAGTTATGTACAGTAACTTTGAGATGGATCAATGAAGCATGGATAGAAACATAGTTGTTATATTTTGTAGAAACAATTATCGAATTTTCCAAGAGAATTCGATTCTCTGTCATTAAAACTAAGGGTACTTACTCTAAGACTCGTGTAGGGTTTTCCATAGAGGTTGTAGGTGGTCCCAAGAGTAACAGGAGGAGAAATTCGACGCGCTAGTAACTCCGAGGAACCGCGAGGACCATCGATGCCATCAGGATAAAACTCCTGAATCCTCGCACCCAAGACCAAACAACTCGATTGAATTACTAACAACACAAGGAGAAAAACGAGATTCCTAGATGCCATTCTTTAAGTCGTTTTGAACCAGTTCGATTGCAGATCGATACCAGTCAGTAACTCAAAGAATGCTTGCTTGGTCTTGTGTCATAGAATGCCCACAGACTGACAGCCTACTAGCTATTTTACTTACTAACCAAATGTGGTCCAATCGCTTTGTGTAAGTGTTGAAATAAGTTTCACGTGGGTGATATGATTGTTTCTAAACAAAGCATTTGAGTGACAGCTAACAATCAATGCTCATTAGTCTAATTACAAGTTGATTTCATAATCAAACACTGGTAAAAAGATACGGTGTTGTCAGAAAAACTTCTGGTAAAACGGAGTCTAAGTGTTTGAAGTGCACTTGACCAACTTTCACGGAAAGGTATTCGTTGGCTTTTTATAGCAATCATTCGTTAAACAGTTTTGAGTATAGCATTGCGTAAGACTTTCTAAAAAAATCTTAAAGATATAATCATAATACAGAGTACAAAAGCTTCTACTGCGTCCACGAATCCCCGAAATACCCATGTAAAAACGCGATGAAAAATCAAAAAGAATCTTAAATAACAGTCCACATAATGTGTGATATTATCGCATTTTTTCTGACAGAGAATTCTCTCCGTTTGTCTCGTTTTTGTTGTTTTTAGCGAGTCACAGAGGTTATCACTTGGGTTTCGTACTGAAATACTATGTCTACCTGGCCTGCAGGGATAGGCTGTCAAGGCCTCTGTCAAGTCGTCATTAGATGGGATCTGTTGGAGTCAGAGCGAAGCTTTTATCTTCTCCGGCTGTTGTCGAATCGCAGCTTATAAAAAAAACCGTTCTCATAGCTTAGACACCAGCACGAGCACCTTTTAACCTTCACTTGTAGAAGACCTTGGGGTAGCTTTAAAGGAATGTATGAGAGTTAGGATTAGAGTACAAGTGCGTTTGTCTGGAGGTCAGACGGAAGATCTTCGCAGGTATTCTGCATACATGAATGAAGTAATTTGGTCCATGGCTCGGCAAAACTCGGAGCTAGGATGTGTGCTGCTTCCACTGTTAGTGACGTTGCTCTTATAATTCCGAGGAGAGATTTTAATACCGTATCTTGACTATGATTTAATAAATATGGTTTACAATGCAATTTTCTATGTCTTTTGGTCTGGTGTTTTCAGGACGCAATCAAACCGGCCCTCAATCATGATATAAATTTGCATGAAGAGTATTGGCGCATCCTGTATACGGAGCTGTAAAATCATGAGAGGTGGTCAGTAATGGAAATTGTGTGTGATCAGCTCTATGCCTCTTGGATGTTTGCTTTGGATGTGATAACAACCACTGAAAGTGGACACCCAACTCGATTCAATGAGCTGCTGACAAAGCTGATTTCAGCTGAGTGGCAGTGGTCGGGAAGTTAAAGAAAGTGGTCGAATTTAAAGTGTGGCAAGTCCGCCATTTCAGAGATAATGATCAAGAATGCATTATGACGTACCAGCGTACCCAAGAAAACTAAATAAGCAAGACCAGTGTTGCTGGTGACTTCAGATTACTGATCACAAGATTGTATTCCTGTTTAGAATTATGATCAATAGCAAACTAAGAGAAACACATCGATGGCACACGAAGACTTAAGAAGGTTCCTTGTGCACGGCACCAGTTGTTTATCACATACTTACCACAACGGCTGCTGCCTTACGTCATGTGCCATGGCACCAGCTAAAGAATACTGACCACAACTACTGTTGCGACAGGTTGCGTGGTGCTAACGACGGACAACTTGTCTTCACAATATGTTGTTTGTCTGTCTGTCCAGACATCATCTTGTTTGTCGCCGAATCCTTTTTGTACAGCATCTGACGGAGTACTTCAGCACCGATACAGCACAACGTACCTGTTACATATGGTGTTCTAGGATAAGAGATTTCAGAGATTCGGAACCTTCGTAGTTTCTTATCTTCTTCTTCAATACTCCACTTGAGAGTCATATTAAGTCTAACCAGTCCCCTGGGGGGTGGGGGTTGTAGTAATCTCCCTGGCCAGATCATTGCAACGACTGATATCGGATATATCTTGATGAGCCGCTTTTTAGCAGATTTGCTTGGCTTTCTTAGAGAGGTGACGGTCACCCCGCACGGCTTTGGTTTGGTCGGCAACAACTGTCTGAATAAGCACCCCAAATGAGTGAAAAAGGAGCAAAGCTGGTTCTGCAGATTCTACAGAAAAGAACTAAGAAGGAAGCATTCTGAAATGAAATAGCGAAACAATGACTGGCATTTAGGAGTGATTTAAAACCGGTATTCATGTATCATATGTTGCTCTATCTTTGTTTTTATCATTGCAGGAGGTATAAATAGCTTGAGGGATAAGTAGGATAAGCCACAATAATCAATTTAGTACTGCTTGTATGAAAATTTTCACACGGCTTGAGTGGCAAGAAATGAACAAAATGTCGGAGTTAGCTCTTATTTAAAGAACAAACCTCCATTTAACACATACTTAAACCTCGAAAGGTTTGAAAGATACGCAGAACGTGGTCGACGTGGCTTGGAAGCGGATTAGCATGGTCATCCATGTCCGTTATGAACTCAAGATCCGACGAGTCTGGAATTCTTCAAATGACAGACAAAATGCAAAAGGCCTTCTTAAGCGCATACTCAAATTGATGTACCGCTGACGGTAGTGAGAGTGACTCAGAGGTTTGGTCATCGCGGGCTCGGCAACCTTGATATATAATTTTTGTGTGTTTTCAGTTGGAAAATATCGATTTCCTTTACTGCCGTGGTGAGACCCACCAAGTTGATTTTATAAAATAACTTTTGAAAAATTCTAAATTTTGGAATAAGGCGAAATGAGCGAAGTTAAATATATATAGATAGATATAACTAGCTAAAAACTAGTGTGAGCTGCGTCGGTGTTTCTAATGAAACAGTAATGATGAAAAGGTAAATTATACACCGTGAAAA